TCTCTCTCTCTCTCTCTCTCTCTCTCTCTCTCTCTCTCTCTCTCTCTCTCACACACACACACACACACACACACACACACACACACACACCATGGCTCAGTGAAGCTATTCTTTAAGAGTAAACATCTCATATTCAGGGTGTCTTAGGTCACTGAAGCTGAGAGCAGCACAAGCTGCCTCTGTGGTGATCTCGAATCTCCACTAAGGCCACCACAACAGCTGTCCTCATACCCAAGTGCACAGTCAGGAAATTGCAAATGGTGTTTCCCCATTCCATTCAGCCAGCATTGAGAATACTCTGCAGTTTCTTTTTAGAGGTCCCCTCGTTTGAAGTCCAGTATTGCTTACTCCTAGCCTCACATGCCGTAGATTCTTCAGCTTCCTTACCTCAGAGAGTAACACAGTGACACTGAGGTGCAATCAGATGACTGCAATCACATGTGCCTGATCACACTGGAAAGGGCTCCCTTTAACAGGAATGGGGACTCAAGTCACGGGACTCACTGTCAAGTCAGATTTAAATCGCACCAATGACTCAACTCAAACTCAACTCAAGTCCCCCCCCCCCGGCCAATGTCTCGGACTTGACTCGGGCTTTGAAACCCATCCAACCGAAAGAGCTTGTTTCTAATAAGGACTCCTACTTGGGGCTTGGGACTCAGACTTGGTACCAAAGACTCAGACTTAAAACTTGGTACTAAAGGCTTGGACTCAAACTTGGGACTCGGATCGAAAGACTTGCCAACATCCATGCTCTTTCATGGGAGTGATTTTTCTTAAAGTCACCCATCCATTTGGTGGAGAATCACTCTAGCCCAGACCCAGAAAGTAGAAGCCCTACAAAAAAAAGGTCCGGCTTACACATGGATCAGGTCAGGCTGGAGTGCATTTCTCTATTTGTTGTGTTACTTCTGGGAAATAGATTACATTGGATCACTCCGCAAACAGTTCAAATTGCAATCATACAGGGAGGTGAGATAATAGCCTTCATCTCATTTGCCATAACAGAGGGGCAGGAGACTTCCTAAAGCTCAGGGGGCAGCCCTATAACAAAAGATTGTACTCCAAAACCCCATTTAAAAATGGACAAACAATCATGCCTTCTAGACAACCCCCATGAGATTATTTCTGGTTTTAGAAAGGGCACCTAATGCCTATATAAAGTACGAGGGGCCCACAGATGGTCCCAAATGGCAATCAGTGCTCCCTTAGAGGGCATGATTGGACATTTTAGGTCCATTTTTAAAATGGGGGGTTTGGCATGCTAGGGGGGCCACACTGAGGCCCCTGGGGGGACACACTTTGACCATCCTTGCTATAACAGTAGCAGGGCTTTATGTGATACCTCTGCAGGTGTTTCCTTTCCACAATGGCCACGAACAATTGTTCAGGTGAGCTTAACTGTAGGGGCATGGAGGGGGAAGACAGCTGCAGATGGGGAACATAGTTCATAAAATGGCAAAAAAGTTTGCAAAGTGGCAAAAAAAGAGGACAATTAGGTAAGCGCTGCCGTATTGCAATGGCTGAATAAAAGGGAAAATACAATCTCTTGACGCCTACATGGAAATCACAAGTGTAGTGTAGTGAAGACTGAGTAAAGACTAGGGAAAATGAGATTCAAATCCCCACTTAGTCATCATGAAGCTTACTGAGTGACCTTGATCCAATAACACTCTCTTAGCCTACTTCAACCTACTTCACAGGGTTGTGTGCACAAAGTGGGGAGGTTTGGAGAGCCATGTACACCCTGCCTTTAACTCACTCTAAGAAAGAAAGGATATAAATGGAACAAATATAATGGTGATGATTCTAGTCACATTACAGAAAATGTACAACACATGGCTGTGACACTTGCTTTCTGCAATTAGTATAAAATGGTTTGTCAGGTGGTAAAAAGCAGGATTATTGTCATATGATGATGTGTACCACACATTTTATCCCAACTAGCACATCTATCAATATAATAGACAGCTGCTGGAAAACAACCAGGCTTATCATTTCCAGCTCCCAATCTTATGCACTCCCTATTATTTACCTTGCAACCTTCACAAGTTATGCAGCGATAGTGATACCCAGTGGCTTTGTCACCACAAACAACACACAGCTCGTCCTTGTCTAAGTAACTGGGTATGTACCCTGCAGAGAGAAAAAGGAGAGGGAGAGAGAGAGAGAGAATGAGAGAGAAAGTGCACTTCAATTGACTGGCTGAATAAGGAAAAGAATGCATATATTTAATGCCTTTCAACATCATCAGTTATCTGAAGGCTACACTTCCTTAACCAAGGGGATGACCACAAAGGCACCAACCTGCCTCAGTCAAGAGGTGCTTGTTAATCTAAACCAGTCTGCATGATAAGCACTTTTAAGTCTTGCTTATTTTAACCCAAGGGCTAGAATCCTGTTTCTTGCATAACAGTTTCACAGTTGGAACACTTGGCTTGAGCCCTGCCAATCTCTGCCTTGTAATTACACAAGCTGGACATTGCCTTCTAACTGTAAATGGAACTTTGTCTCACTCAAAGGGGTGCTGGATGCCACCTTACACAAGCAGTGGCCAGGAAGGAACCATATGTGGAACGCAATTTTCTGCACTGCTTTCCCTATCCAAAATATTAGATGAACAAGATCAACTCTTCTATTTAAATCAGCAGGACCTAAAAATGTGTGACTCTTGACAAATCATGGGCAAATTTGAAAGTGCAACAAAGAGCTGGAACACTACTGAACACATTAAAACAGGATGATTTTATATACACACAGGGAGAGAGAATGGCAACCCCCATTTTGAGATTCTGCTAGGATCTCCCAGAGAAACACAGGAGCCCACATCTACTCTTCCTGGGATTTCTCTCTCCCCAGCCATCCTCAAGAAGCCTTTCCATGAGGCTAAGGAACCTCATAAGACCAAAAACTTGTGCCTACGTGTTCTTGTTCTCCTTACTTTCTCCACCTCACTTTTGATATTGTGTCATGTTTTTTTTTTAGTTTGTGAACCTGAGGGCAAGGATTGTCTTTTTGTCTGTATTAATAAATTAAGTATAGTACTCTAATAGCCTTTCCAGATGTAGTGCCATGTCTAAATCGTTTATTAGATGGTTTAATAAACAAACAGTGTGGAAAAGACAGACAATAAATGCTATTTTGTCTCAGTCTGTGCAAAGAACAGAACTTAGAAGCTTTAGCTTTTTCTTTGCCAATTGTGCAAAGAACACAGCATGGAAGTAGCTATTTACTTATAATTAGTAACCAACTAGTTTCCCCCTAAATGAATGCATAACTAAGTAATATTTACCATAATTGAACCTCTTCTCAGTGTAGTTGTAAGCTTTGAGTTAGCACCTAGGTTAAAATGAAAGCACATTGTGCTAAATGGTTCTTAGATTTGAGTCACTGTATGTTGTTAGACTACAGCTCCCAGAATCCATAGCCATTGACTATGGTGGCTGGGAATCTTGGGAACTGTGTCACAACAACATCTAGGGACCCATGTTTGAGAACTGAGAGATCACCTACATAAACTGCACACATTGAATTCAATGGACTGAATAGCCTCAACTATTCAAGTGCAAAGAAATACAACTGCCTGATGTTGAGATTGCAAGAGAGGTCCAAAAAAAGAGAGCAAATTTTGTGACAAAATGGCACACCTGTAATTAAGAAAGCAGTAGCTATGACATGAATAAATATCAATATGGCTTGACAGTAAATGACATGAGTTTAGTGTAGTTGGGTAGTTCAATTTGGGCACTTCAGATTGAACAATATGAATAGGGCACAAAACAAGCTAGGCAAAGCTGTGCAGTGTGCTCTTCAGTATGGAATAATCTAGCCTGCTTTCAAAAGGGTAGATTAAAAATCATGTGCCAACTTTCTGAGTGAGAGATGTGGGAAACATAGAGAGACACCTTCTGTCTACAGCCTAATGCAGCAAAGTAAATCCAGCTATTGAATGTTCTTGGCAGGCAGGGAGGAGAGAATGGAAGGCAAATGAGACTGAGCAACATTTTGCACAGCAGCTTTAGAGAAGAGACCATCTAACTGCATAAATGTCTTTCACTACCAGCAGCAAATACATAAAGACTTTCAGGTCCAGCTGCAGAACAAGTAGAAATTTAATTTGCTCTGGTGCCAGTTCTTGGAATGGGATATGACATGAAAGTTTCAGAACACATAGTAGGCAGGAAATAATAGAAAAACACTATTAACATGTAAGAAGAGAAAAAGGCAAAACAAAAACAAAAACAAAACCCCACAAAAAACTCCAGACTCTATTCTGGTCCACCTAAATTCAATATATACAGGAGGTGTTTGTTAGCAGCAAATCAGAAAATATGGGATAACGTTTGCCATGGAAGGATTTCATGTGACAGACTAGAAGAAAATAAAAGGTTACTGCAAATAGTTCAGTATTTGTACAAAACTGACATATATTCATTTTCGGGGGAAAAGAGAATATTTTTGCATCAAATATTGTAAGGCAGCTTTCTCCAATCTGGTACCCTCTGTATGGTTTGTTCCATAACTTTAATTAGTCATGAACCCTGGCCATACTAGGTAGAACTGATGACAGCTGCAACTCCAAAATACCTGTAGGAAAAAACATCTGTCCTAAGGCATGATCCAATATGTATACAGAACCTTGGTTCAATAAATAATAATAATGACTTTCCACAAACTTCTTGCAAGCTTAACAGAGTACTATCCTAGTTGGATTACAGATGCTTCAGAGTCAATTAAAATTCACAATTAGTTTGAAGTACTTAATACATATGCTCATTTAATCTTCAACTATCCAAAACAAAATGTGGGGAAATATAATGTACACCATCTGGAACCTCCCCAGTAAGCACAAACATGTTCCACAAAACAATTCTTGGTAAATATGTGGGATTGCAATATGGGTGCTATGTTTGTTACAGTCATCTGTGCAGTAATGACACATTTCACCTGATCAGCTGATTCATTACAAATTTGACAATGCCTTTACTAAATAAATTAATTACGTCAAATTGCATTTTCGCATAACATCAGTAGTTGAAGTAGACATCATTTAAAAAATAATAATAATACTTGGGACAGATGTTAATTGCATGAATTATCTATTAACACTAAAGTTTTGTGATATATGGTTTTGATACATATAGGAAAAAGAAAACAAGAAGCCAGGTCCTAAATAAAATAAAGTTAATGTTGTCGGTTTTTAAAATAGATGTCTAATGCGTTTAACTAGATGGCTAATGTTTCAGCTTCTTTCAAGGGGCTTTTTCTCCTCTTTTTGCCTTGCTGATTTCAAGATTCCCACCCCAGTTATTTCACTTTTGATTGATATGCATTTTTACACTCTTAATTTTTATTTATACCCTCAAAGAGAAAGAAACCTTGGTTTAAAGCATACAGTTATATTGAAGCAGGATGCTGAAAAGGAAGATACTGAAGGAATAAATCAGTCACATGCCTCACTCAAAATGTGAGCAAACTGATGCATCTTTCTTGAATTTTAACTTCTGCACCAAGTAAACACAACAGATATGCTTCACTGTTTGATTCTTTAATAACACCATTCTCTGCTTACTTAGGAATAATCCAGTGATGGCTTGTGAGTCATGGAGGGGGCATTTCCCCAACTTATTTGCTCTGGTTCATGAGCAAGCCATAGGCTAAGAATGTGACTACACTGGCAAGCCAAATCAAAGCAATTCTCCTTTGCATTGGCTTGATTTATAGCTTTAAATATACTGAATTTGTTTTCACACTCTCCCTATTGGGAATTTCACTGTTTTTAATTGTGGTAATACACAGGTATCAATGGTAGAAAAACAAAATCTCTCTTTACTAAACAGTTTAAGGTTAGAGGGTCATCCCCACACTGCCATGGAAATAAAAACACAAATAGTCAACAGGAACAAAGCATGTTAGACTCATAGTCTTATCCCAAGCACTTGCCATTTAAATCTCTCTCTTAAAAAACAGGTCCTACATAATTATCACATGTTACTCACAGATACTATGCTGCACAGAGTTTCCACCTGGGAAACACGTTCAGGATCAGACTAAATTCCACCAAAAATGAGTCCTACCTCGAGGGAGGACTAGAAAAGTTCTCTGATTTCCAATTCACAATTGCCACTCTAAATGTCCTCTTATGTAAAAGGCAAAAGCAGAAATTCCAAGTGGCAGGATTGAATAGTGGCCTTGCAGCACCAGTGAAGAACAGATGGTAATAAAAAGGTGGCCAAAAAGAAAAACGTACACATACACAGAGCAGTGTCTTTATCACTAGTTTCCATGAGGGAGATAACATGGGAACCTCACCAATTATAACTATATGGAGTAGAGTCTGACATTTCTAAGGCCAACCATGCAGAGATTTTCTTCACAGGCTGTTGGGTCACAGTCTCCCCTAAAACAGCACAGAGTGTTTTAGGTTAAATTAAATACTGGTGTACTGGACAGGAATATAACTGGGAAGGAGAAAAAGGAAAAGGAGAAATGGGTGACTCTTAGTACATGTATAAAATAAATATTTTTCAGTATTACTGTATTTGCATGTATCCATTACTTTATAGTTCTCCAAGCAGGGTATGTGGCTTTCTTACTCACCACTTTTCTTCGCAACAACCTTGTAAGGCAGTTCAGGCAGAGAAACTGTGATTAGCTCAAGGTCACCCAGTAAATTTCATGGCTCAATGAAGACCAGGATCAGGATTACCCAATCCCAGTTCAACATTCTAACCAATACACCAGTGGTTCCCAACCTTGGGTAACCAAGGTGCATTTGGACTGCAACTCCTGGAAACCCCAGCCAGTAGTGAAGGCTTCTGGGCGTTGCGGTTCAAGAACACCTGGGTTTACCCAAGCTTGGGAATCACTGCACTATACCAATAAAGCATCAATACAACAAAAATAACACCAATAAGATATCAATAACAAATTTAAATATCTGCTGTATCTGCTCTAGGTTGTACTCACAAAATGTGGAACATATCAAGCCAAGTCAAGCTTACTAGTGGAGATGGGCACAAGCCTCAACTCAGAGGTTCGTGCCAGTTTGTACATGCAGCATCATAGGTGCCATGAGTTGCCTTCCCCCACCTCCATGGCTGGATCCCCCACTCAGCAGTTGGAGTGGGTTCCTC